ATGCAGGATTCTATAACTATTTCCAATTCGTTACGTGAAGCTTGAATTGTAATAAAATAGTTTTTTGAATCTTGACCATTGGGTCTTGAGATATGTTTCCCCATGACATCGCTCCTTCACACTGGCTTTTAAAGTACAGCATGTTAAAAAGATAAGATTAAATTTATTTAAAGAATAAGGTAGGACAAGCATTTAAACATGCTACAATAGACGAAGACTAATTCTCCTTGCATACCTGCTAACGTAATCGTATCATTTCAGCCTCCTGCTATGTGTGTAATGGCCCTCCGTTTCTGTGTGAGACGCGCGTGAAACAGCAGCAGTGTAGTACTGTGGACGAGCAGTTCTGTCTCAACAGGTTCATCAACAACGACGACGGCACGCGATCAGTATTTAGAAGGTATAGTTTTGCTTAGGCAAGGTCAATCTTCCCCATAGGCAAATATACCCTAACTTATCTTAATATACAATGAGATTTTATATCAATATAGTGTTGATAGAGGTATATATCCGGAGAAAGGTGTTGGCTATTATGTCTGTGTTGCATAAATCTCTGAATACACACTGTCCATTTACACCCTTCTGTATTTATGTATCTTATTACCTACAACATAACTGTTATAATAATTATATCATTTAAGGATGATAATACATAATGTCACCCTACGGAATTCTAACGCCACCCTAAACTTTGCATCGGGTGACAGTGTTTTGATACTGATACTAGCGAATCTGTCCCGACTTTTTCAACCCTGCGTATAATTGATGTAATTGCATTTTGAAGTGATAGAGTATTCTGAACAGCTCCGCGTTTGTCATTGTTTCTTTTCCGTCCTTTTATTTTCTTTCCTTCTTAAATACTCTATAAATAATGCATTTAATGCATTTTAACATGCGTTTTGGTGTTTGATTGTCCTTTTCATTTGAAAGATTAACGACTCACTCATCCAAAAAAGGCACGGAATTCTGTCATAAACCCCCGTTTTCTGCCATCTTATTTTATGTCTGTACACAGCGGTTGCCAAACAACCAATCGAATTGAGTCAAATGCAATGCATTTCCACATATGACTAATTGTAATAGTACTGTCATTGTGTGAGCATTTATTCTTGGTGTTTCACTTCGCAAATAAGTTTGTGAAATATGTCCTCATCTTTTTACTCGTAAAGTGCAGACTGAATGCAATATATCTCATAATGGCGACGGACTTGACGCTTCAAATGCCTAATATTCTTCGTTTTACATAAATGCCGTATATACATATTTATGTATCTTTTGCTATATATGAATCTGATGTATTGAATGTCTTACAAGGGATATTTTATCTCTAACTATCACAAGGTTAACAACGGCTTTATATATTTGCCCGTCTTTATTCTCGTTTGCGAAAAGTGCCAACGGTTCCCAATTGATCGAAACTAACTTGAGTTACTTCTCTTTGACCGACGCATACATAAATGCCTGCATTGAAGATAAACGGGAATGTTGAAGCAATATCATGACGGGTACAAAGCAAGTTCAGACGTGTTACCATACATGAATACTCCATCGTTTAGCTTTTAAACAGATTTTTTTCCTTTTTAAACATGCCATGGTGTACTCTGCCATGTGTAAGTAACGTTATCCCATACTAAATGTTTGTTATACGATGTCATTTTGTGTATAGTACTACATCAAGTTGTCATCCTCGATATCCAGTGATTACTCTCACTTTCGCCCTCAAAACCACATTTTCATGATCTACTGCTGCAACTTTATTACTGCATTCGGATTGGTCAATATGACACAATTTTAGGATGCACTAAATGCGGTGCGAATGGATCCGGATAGTTACATGCATTAGTGGGAGATAACTCCTACGAGCTTATAACCAAATTATATAAAATATTAATGATTTTTTTTTTTAATTTTAAGTCTTTAGGAGTTAAACTGATGTACTTATTATCATGTGTTTTGTAAACTGAATACAATTTGCACAATATGTATTGAAATTCAGCACATGAAAAATGTTTTTTTTCATTTTCAGCTCACGAATTTATCATTGTACAAGTTGTAATAAAGTTCCAATTCTAGTTCATATGGGAGTCATTGTTTTAGTGAAACTGATTGATAAAGACTAGTAATTTTAACACAACTTATTAACTGTCAATACAAAAATACTAGAACAGTCAAAAATAAAAGAAAGCTGGGGTCAACGGTTACTAGCACATGACCCGCCGTTGGGACCAGGTCTTTATCACCTGTCCATACACTAATTATCAATGACACATTGTTATGACATGCTGTCTGCATATAACACTTTGTCTGTAATGAAATTTTGTCTGTTATGACATGGTGTCTGTTACGTCACGTTGTATGTTATGACATGTTGTCTTTTATGACATGTGGTCTGTGATGACGTGTTGTCTGTTAAGACGTGTTGTCTTTTATGGCATGTTGTCTGTTATGAAGATTTGACTTTTATGACTTATTGTCTGTTATTACATGGTGATATTGTGACATGTTGTCTGCTGTAACACTTTGTCTGTCATGATATATTGTGTTTTATGACTTGTTGTCTGTTTTGAAACGTCTGCTATGACATGTGATCTGTTATGCCATGCTGTATGTTATAGCACGCTGTCTGTTGTGACATGTTGTCTGTTATGACGTGTTGACTTTTATGACATGTGGTCTGTTATGCTATGCTTTTTTAAAGTTTAAGTCTTTAAGAGTTAAACTGATGTACATACTATCATGTGTTTTGTACTGAATACAATTTGCACAATATATATTGAAATTTAGCACATGAAAAATGGTTTATTTTTTATTTCCAGCTCACAAATTTATCTTTGTACAATTTGTAATAAAGTTCCAATTCTAGTCCATATGGGAGTCATTGTTTTAGTGAAACTGATTGATAAAGACTAGTAATGTTAACACAACTAATTAACTGTCAATACAAAAATACTAGAACTGTCAAAAATAAAAGAAAGCTGGGGTTAGCGGTAACTAGCACATGACCCGCCGTTGGGACCAGGTCTTTTTCACCTGTCCATACACTAATTATCAATGACACATTGTTTCACATAATCTTTGAAACGACAAGGTTCCTTTACAGCTCTGGTACTTCATGGGGTGTAAGAGGTTCCTTCTGCTGTTTACGTTTGAAATGATTGCATGTTGAACATCTCGATATATAATCATCTATTTCCGCAGACATACTGGGTCAATATAGACCGTGCTCGTGCCTTACACTGTTCCATGCCGTAGTGGCATGCATGGACTGTGCACAGCATATCTCTACGCATCTCCCTTGGTATGATCAGACGGTCTCCACAAAACAGTACCCCTTCTGCCTCATGTATTTCGTCTTTCAGGTGGAAATACTGACGGACTGATTTGGGTGTGGCGAATTTCTCTGCTGGCCATCCCGACTTAACCAGGTCGAGGAGATCATGTAGCTCAGAATCTGTGGATGTTGCTTGCTTCATTTGTTCGCGTTTTCTATCGCTGGCTGATAAGTTTGCTATAAGCCCATGGATCATTACTTCCATGTCCTTGTTGAGTTCTCGGTCCTGCTCGGTATGTTCTGTGACCAGGTATGCTCTCGACAGTATGTCCCCAATATACATATATTTCCCTGGCATATAGGTGATTCCAAGATGATATCTCTGGAGTCTTAGCAACATTCACTGGAGCCTTGGAGTGGCTTTTTTATTATCGCCTCCAACGGTTTGTGATCTGACTGAATTTCTTCTTGTTTTCAATAAATGCATTGGTGGAACTTATCGCATGCAAAAACGATCGCCAGAAGCTCCTTTTCAATTTGTACATAGTTCTTTTCAGCATCAGTAAGGAACGTGACGCATATGCTATTGGCTATTTTCCCTGGAGTAGACAAGCTCATAGACCATTCTGTGAGGCATCAGCCTGAATAGTTGTGGGTTTCCCAAAGTCAGAAAAACTTTAGCACGGGGCTATTAGTCAACGCATTCTTGATCTCCTGGATTGCACGATCATGGTTTGCATCCCATATCCATTGGCTCTCACTCTTAAGAAGATTGCGTAATGGTGCTGTGATTGCTGACAACTACGTATACAGATACTCTTCTGTTGATGATACATTATGTATGAGTTACGGTTTGTCCTGTGGGTTTCAACCTCTGACCTCCATAAGCCGATAACGTTGTTGTAGTTTTAGTGAGACTAGGCCTATTAGACATCTTGTTGTAGAGTCTCTGAGGCAATACATTTGCTTCGACCCCTGTGTCAAGCTTGAACTTGATCGGTGAAGTGGAACAACTGAGCTTTAAGTCAGCATATCAGGCATTGAGCTCACCTATTTGAAGTTCATCAATAAACAATGTTTGAAGTGCTGGGTCCACCTCTTCTACAAATGTGTGCATTTCTCCATGTTTTTTCTCATAGTTGTTACTTCTACACATTTTGGCGAAATGTTTTTTTCTTATTACATTTCATACCAGTCTTACCAAAGGCTGGGAACTCACGCTTGCCATGTGTGTTACCAGAGTTCCTACTCGGAAACTGTGTTGTGCTAGCGGTACTGGGGGTTATTTTGGACGATTTTGCGTTTTGTAGTTTTTCTTGAATTTTGATTTAGAAATGGCATTAACACTCACATGCTGTGCTGTGGCACCGAGTTGAAGAAATTAGCGCGAACTCGCCTCTGCTGCTCTGCAAAGTTCGACAACTCTTTCTAGTTTTGGATCAGCAGAATCATGAAGAAGACGTTCCTTTAATCTTGTGTCCCTTACTCCGAATATAATTATGTCTCTTATCATGAGTTCTTTCTGATCGCAAAAATCACAACTTTTAGCTTGGTTTGTTAATGTAGTTACAAATTGATCAATAGTCTCACTTCACGTTGGACTTTCCGTATCTGTATCTGTACCTTCAAGGTTCCGGATAAAATTCATAAATTGAATATCACATCCGGGGAGGAGGAGTGGGGTAAAAGTTAGTTTTGAGGCTACTACGGAAATGGTATACCGAAGTTTTGCTGATGGAGGATTCTTTTAGAGCGTTTTAATCGGTTAGTGTACGTGGGTAGAAGGATTGTCTGTAGTTCTCAGTGTTGTACGATATCTGCTGTAGTTTCTGACTGTTGTTTCGTCGTGTGTTGGTACGGCCGACTGTGATGTAGTCGTCAGCGGGTATGGTTACTAGCCCATTGATGATTTAACAACAGTACTAGTCTGTGTTTACGACGTCTGTCTTTCAGTGGTTCGAGTTCTAGTATGTTTAGCATGGATGTTACACTGAGTCTCGTTTGTAATCTGACCGAATGAATCTTGATGCACGCCTTTGTACTTTCTCTATGATATATACGTCCCTGTCCGTGTAAGGGTCCCAGATGGTGGAACTATACTACAATACAGTTTGAATTAGGACTTGAACGCACACAATTTCAGATCCGTCGGAAATTTCTTCAGATTTCTCCGTAGGAATCCCAGTGTAGAGTTGGCACGGTTGGAAATTTTGGTGATTTGTGATGACCATTTCATAGTGTTGCTGAAGATGATACCGAGGTTTTGTTGTCAGTTACCTCTTCTAGTATGGTATCACCGAGAGTGTAGCGAAAGGCTGATGTAGATTTTGAGCGATGGATCCTCATGATGTAACATTTGCTGCTGTTAAACGACATGTCCCACGCTGATGCCCATCGTTCTAATGATTTTAAATCCTCTTGAAAGTTTAAGTGATCCTGGACAGTTCTTATCGTTCTATAAAGGAGACAGTCGTCTGCGAATAACCTGACGGTGGATTTCACTGCTGTGGAAGGTCAATGATGTGGCAGAGGAAGAGGAGTGGTCCGAGTAATGTCCCTTGGGGGACTCCGGACTCAACTTGCACTTATGCTGAAGGTTCACCCTCCAGTAGTACACGTTGTGTTCTGTCCTGCAGGAATGATAAAATCCAGCTAATGATGTCGGGATGAACGCCATAGTGGTCAAGTTTGTACAAAAGGTGTCGGTGCTGGACCGTGTCAAAGGTTTTAATGAAGTCTAAAATAGCCATGTCAATTGGTTTCTTTTGGTCAAATCGGGAAAGAAGGCCCTGGGTTGTGACAGGGAGTTTCTTTTCATCTCCTTCGGGTAAGTTAAATGTGTTAAATATCCCCATCTACTATCGTGTGTAAAAAGCGGCGTCTTGGGCTGCCTCGTCCTTTGCGCTGGCACCCGACGCTAAATGATACACTTCATACTTTTGTATCCACCGTCTCCAGTTCTCAGAGAGATTACTGTCAAAGGTGAGTTTCCCTGGAGGTTTGAAATGCTCCATTTTCTAATGTGGCGTGAAATATTTCAGTTTCACCCGATTATCTGACACCATATAACAGATATAAACTGCTCAAAACCACATTTTCATAATTATCTCTTGCAACTTTATTACTGCATTCTGATTGGTCAATATTACACAGTTTTATGATGCACTAAATGCGGTGCGAATTGATCCGGATAGTTACATACATTAATGGGAAATAACTCCTACGAGCTTATAACCGAATTATATCAAATATTATGTATATGACACTACACCCCTTGAATATGTTATAGCAAAATTGAAGGCACGAAGATAACTGTTTGATTGGTCTCACGTAAAATAACCTGACCAATCGTTAGGCCGATACCTGTCCTTTTAGGATTACAAAGGAGAGACGCCCGACTTCAAAACCTGTCATTTTTTACCATTACGTGACCGCGAAATTCTTTTGATTTATGTTGTCTTTTATGACATGTTGTCTCTTATGCCATGCTGTCTTTTATGCCATGCTGGTTATAACGTCACATTATCTGTTATGACCTGTTGTCTGTTCTGACAATTTGTCTGTTAGGAAATGTTGTTTTCCATGGCATGTTGTCTGATATTACACTTTGTCTATAATTGCATGTTGTCTGATATTACACTTTGTCTATAATTACATATTGTCTGTTATGGCATGTTGTCTTTTACGCCATTTTCGTTGTTATGTCACGTTGTCTGTTATGAAAGGTTGTCTTTTATGACATATTGTCTGTGATGACGAGTTGTTTGTTAGGACGTGTTGTCTTGTATGGCATGTTGTCTGTTTTGACATGTTTTCTGTTACGATACGTTGTCTGTTATGACATGTTGTCTTTTATGACATGTCGTTTAGATGACTTTTTGTCTCTTAAGACGTTTTATCCCTTGTGGCATGGTGTATGCTATGACGTATTGTATTTCATGTCTTGTTGTCTGTTATGACATGTTGTATACTTTGTCTGTAATGACATGGTGTATGTTATGACTTGTAGGCTGTCACGACACGTTGTTAATTACGACACATTGTCTATTATGACATGTTGTCTGTTATGGCATGTTGTCTGTTATGACCTGTTGTCTGTTTTGATACGTTGTCTGATATAACATGTTGTTTGTGATGACATGTTGTTTGGTATGACGTGTTGTCTGGTATGACGTGTTGTATGTTACGACACGTTAGCTGTTAAGACATGTCTGTTGTGATGTGTTGTCTTTTATGATATTTTGTCTATAATAACGTGTTTTTGTTGTTACATGTTGTCTGTTATGACGTATTGTCTGTTATCACATGTAGTTTGCTATGACACGTTGTCTGTTATGATACGTTGTTATTTATGACGTGTTGTCTGTTATAACATGTTATTGTTATGACATGTTTTTTGTTATGACGTGTTGTCTTTTATGACGTGTTGTCTGGTATGATGTGTTGTATGTTACGATACGTTAGCTGTTAAAACATGTCTGTTATGATGCATTGTCTGTTATGATATGTTGTCTATAATGACGTGTTGTTTGTTGTTACGTGCTGTTTAATATGACGTGTTGTCTTTTATGACATGTTGTCTGTTATGGCATGCTGATTGTTATGATATGTTGTCTGTTATGACGTGTTTTCTTTTAGACATGTTGTCTATCACGACATGTTGTTTATTACGACACGTTTTCTGTTATTACATGCTGTCTGTTATGGCATGTTGTCTTTTATGCCATGTTGGTTGTTACGTCACGTTGTCTGTTATGACATGTTGTTTGTTATGTCATTTTGTCAGTTATGACGTGTTGTCTTTTATGATGTGTTGTATTGTATGACGTTTTGTCTGTTACGACACATTGTCTGTTATGACATGTTGTCTTATATGACGTGTTGTCTTTCATGACATGTTGTCTATAATAACCTTTTGCTTGTTGTAACATGTTGTCTGTTATGACGTGTTGTCTGTTATGGCATGTTGTCTTGTATGGCATGTTGTCTTTCATAACATGTTTTCATTGATGACATGTTGCTTTTTATGACATGCTGTCTGTGATGACGTGTTGTCTATTAAGACGTGTTGTTTTTAATGACATGTCTGTTATGACGTGTTGTCTTTTATGACAAGTTGTCTGTTATGGCGTGTTTTCTTTTAGACATGTTTTCGCTGATGACATGTTGTATGTTGTGACATGTTTTCTGCTATAACATAATGTCTGTTATGACATTGTGTCTGTCACGACACGTAATTTATTACGACACGTTTTCTGTTATGAAATGCTGTCTATTATGGCAAGTTGTCTTTTATGCCATGTTGGTTGTTACGTCACGTTGTCTGTTATGACATGTTGTTTGTTATGACATGTTGTCTCTGTTATGACGTGTTTTTTAAGACGTGTTGTATGGCATGACGTTTTGTATGGCATGACGTTTTGTCTGTTACGACACGTTGTATGTTATGGCATGCTGTCTGTTATGGCATGTTGTCTGTTATGGCATGTTGTCTGTTATGGCATGTTGTCTGTTATGACGTGCTGCCTATAAGGTCGTGTTGTCTGTTATGGCATGTTGTCTTGTATGGCATGTTGTACTTCATAACATGTTGTCATTTATGACATGTTGCTTTTTATGACATGTTGTATGTGATGACGTGTTGTTTTTAATGACATGTCTGTTATGACATTTTGTCTATAATGACGTGTTGACTGTTACGACATGTTATCTGTTATGACCAGTTGTCTGCTAAGGCATTATGGCTGTTATGGCATGTAATCTATTACGACACGTTATCTGTTATGGCATGTTGTCTTGTATGACGTATTGTCTTGTTTGACGTGTTGTATATCATGTCGTGTTGTATGTTTTGACATGTTGTCTGTTATGACATATGTTATGACGTGTTGTCTTTTAAGACGTGTTGTCTGTTCATACATGTTTTCTATTACGAAATGTTGTCTGTTATGCCATTATTGCCTGTTATAAAGTGTTGTCTTTTATGACATGTTGTCTTTTATGAGGTGTTGTCTTCATGACGTTTTGTCTTCTATAACGTGTTGTCTTCATGACGTGTTGCCTTTATGACATGTTTGTTATACTGTGTTGTCTGTTATGACATTTGGTCTTTTATGACAGTTTTTTTCGTTATGAAATGTTATTTGTTACGGCGCATTGCCTGTTATGAAATGTTGTCATTTATGACATGTTGCCTGTAATGACGTGTTGTCTGTTAAGATGTGTTGTCTTTTATCGCATGTTGTCTGTGATGACGTGTTGTCTGTTAATATGTGCTGTCTGTTAATATGTGTTGTCTTTTATGACATGTTGCCTGTTATGACGTATTTTCTTTTATGTCATGTTTTGTGTTTTGACATGTTTTCTGTTACGATACGTTGTCTGTTGCGACATGATGTCTGTTATTATATCGATTATCAATGTTTTATGTTATTATAATCCCGATTGTTCATCAGTTTGTCGATTGTTCAATTAAAGAGCAAAATATATGGTCATGCAGGTTTGTGAGAAGCCTTGTGAGGTGTTTCTATGTCAGAAACAGGTTGAAATTTCTCGATGGGATTATTTTTTTCTTAAATGTCTCGATGTGAAAAACTTTTAAGGGTATTTCGATCCGCTATGGATATTCTTATTATAGTTACATAACAATTAAAACATTCACAATCAGTCTGGGATAGGGCTGACATACTGTAAAATCATAAATTTTCGTGGAACATTAAATTTCGTTTATTACGTGGTTAACAAAAATCCACGAAATTAAATTCCCACGAAAACATACATTTGGTATGATATAGATAGGGGAACATCAGATATTGGCGATATATAATGTCTTTAAAACAGGCTAGTATATGAAAACCACGAAATTTTAACCCCACGAAAATGAATAATCTACAGTAGTGTTGTAACGCCCTGTTATACTGTACACACTGCCATAATGTACTACATAGATATATGTTTCTTGGTTGTGTAGCTGTGGTACAGAGGATGAATGTAAGGTACAGTGGCTGGCCGGAACCTCTGACCGACACGAGTGTACAGACTACGACACAACACAGCTCCATCTGTACGCCTTTGAATGCACGTTCTGCTGCACTTCAGCCAACTGCAACAGGAACCTGATACCGGCAAAAGCCGACTTTTATGTCGGGAATAAACACGGATGACGTAATTGTTCCGGCGAACGCCTACTTATCACTGTTGAAATTTGATTGTATCTGAGTTGTATTGGAAAATAAATAAGATATATTATGGATCTATCTACATGTATCAATTAATATGCTATATATGTATGTGTGTGTATGTTTATAAAACAATAAAGGTACTCAAATTTCGTTTTTAAAAACGCTTTATGTATGTCAATTTTGATATAAATTTCTAGCTGAGACTGATCAATTAATAACAATTAAAAAAATGAAAAAAGGGTATTTGTACACAAGTTCTCTAAGCATCCTTTTATGCTATGGTGAATCATCGTTTCTTTTAAACACTCGGTTCTCCACTTATGTTTTGCGAAACAGTGTTTATTGTGAACATTATTTTTTCCACGTTTATTTTATACGAATGGTTTCGAGGAACACTGTTTATTGTGAAACTACTTCTTGCAGCAGAAGTAGTAGAAACAGCACAAGAGAACTATACCCGAAAACCCTCCTCCCCCACCAAGGGCGATCACTAATGTAGAATTGGATGATGAATCTGAAAAAAGTACAATTTGTTTATTAGACCAAGTAAATAAATATTGTTTTTTCTGTCCAGCTCGGATACTGGGTTGTTATGAATACAAAATTATGTTAAGATTATACGAATATTTAGATTTGGATGTTGTGGACAACGATGACCTTCCTACGTAAATGAAGTATTAAAAGAAAAAGATAAGTTTTTACAAATTACTAATGAGCTTATGAACATTTAAATATAGCAATGAAATCAGTGTGTCAATAACCTTAAGGGCCCAAGGTTTAGGTGTGGAAATTCTCGCGAGAATACGTCTTACTTTTCCTTGAATGTCCTTATTTTAATTATATAGGGAATATACTTTTGCAAAATATTGATATCAGGCATTTGAATGTTAAAATAAATTCCCATATACTACTGTTTGGACTCGGAGAGATTGCCAGAGACACTAATATACAATTATTTAGGAACGTGCAAAGTTACTTCAAATTCATCAAGAAATAACAATTACTAAGAGTACGAGTACAACATTTCACACATACCATAAGTAATACCGTCTGTACATGGCATTGGATTCATTAACCTCTCAACCCTAACTGACGAACATTTCCTTCTTCGGTTTGAACTTCAGAAAACTTGGATTAACCAAAAATAAGTTTAAAATAACATTATTGAAACCAATCTGACATAATTCATTATGACACCTAGTGAAATAACGATAACATATTACCATACGAATAACATTATCTTATGTCTTACCTTGTATTTCCTCTTCTTCTTCATTCTGGGAGAAGGCTATGGGTGCTAGGAAGGACAAACCTGTCACAGAGAAACAGTGAAAATGTCAAACCAGAGAGGTACTGCTGATATACATAGTCAAGTTCTTTTATCATTGAACCCAAAACTATATATCTAAAGAGAACATCTAAAAATCTAATTCGGAGAAAAAATATTTTTTATTACCTTTTGAATACATAAAAACTGTTTTCTTTTGCAATCATATATTTGACCAATTTTGCATTGGAATGACTCTTGTGTAACATTGGGTATGGACAAAGAACAATCATTGGAAAAAAGATATATTGATATTTAGAGATTACAATATGACTTTTGCATATCCTACTCCGTATCAGCTCGATACTCCAATATTAGCCCGAGGGGCCGGATGCCCGAGGGCTGATATTGGTCGATGACTGATACGGAGTAGGATATGGAAATGGTCACATAATAACCTTTTTATCCTATACTGCTCTATAACTTCAAAAATATAAATAATAACACATAAAACTGGCAGAAAATTGCGGACTTGACCAATGTCGCTGTTTATGTGCAAACCACATATTCTAACGGAAACTTCCGTTTACACACGGAACACAAACCACATATTCTAACGGAAACTTCCGTTTACACACGGAACACAAACCACATATTCTAACGGAAACTTCCGTTTACACACGGAACACAAACCACATATTCTAACGGAAACTTCCGTTTACACACGGAACACAAACCACATATTCTAACGGAAACTTCCGTTTACACACGGAACACAAACCACATATTCTAACGGAAACTTCCGTTTACACACGGAACACAAACCACATATTCTAACGGAAACTTCCGTTTACACACGGAACACAAACCACATATTCTAACGGAAACTTCCGTTTACACACGGAACACAAACCACATATTCTAACGGAAACTTCCGTTTACACACGGAACACAAACCACATATTCTAACGGAAACTTCCGTTTACACACGGAACACAAACCACATATTCTAACGGAAACTTCCGTTTACACACGGAACACAAACCACATATTCTAACGGAAACTTCCGTTTACACACGGAACACAAACCACATATTCTAACGGAAACTTCCGTTTACACACGGAACACAAACCACATATTCTAACGGAAACTTCCGTTTACACACGGAACACAAACCACATATTCTAACGGAAACTTCCGTTTACACACTGAACATAAACCACATATTCTAACGGAAACTTTCGTTTACACACGGAACAAAAAACACATATTCTAACGGAAACTTTCGTTTACACACGGAACAAAAAACACATATTCTAACGGAAACTTTCGTTTACACACGGAACAAAAAACACATATTCTAACGGAAACTTTCGTTTACACACGGAACAAAAAACACATATTCTAACGGAAACTTTCGTTTACACACGGAACAAAAAACACATATTCTAACGGAAACTTTCGTTTACACACGGAACAAAAAACACATATTCTAACGGAAACTTTCGTTTACACACGGAACAAAAAACACATATTCTAACGGAAACTTTCGTTTACACACGGAACAAAAAACACATATTCTAACGGAAACTTTCGTTTACACACGGAACAAAAAACACATATTCTAACGGAAACTTCCGTTTACACACGGAACAAAAAACACATATTCTAACGGAAACTTTCGTTTACACACTGAACACAAACCACATATTCTAACGGAAACTTTCGTTTACATATTGCAGTATAATTCGATAGCTGTGTTATTTCCCCCAATAAGTTTGGGTTCCTCGCAGTTATTGTGACAATAAGGTAAGTGTATCTTTTTGTGCTTGTTCCGGACAGAAACAATGACTGAGTCAGAGATGGAGATGACGGGGGACAATATATACTGGGTGAAGTATACTCACAGATGAAACAGCACAGAAACAGTTTCGCAAACAGCCTGGGTACAACATCCATGATGATCGCCTGAAGGAGAAATATGACGATTTCCTACAACAAAAATGAATCGCATTACACATGTGGTCAGTATTGATCTGAGTTAAAAGAATATATGCATTCCTTAGAACAGGAGGAACATGTCCTTAGAACAGGAGGAACATGTCCTTAGAACAGGAGGAACGTGTTCTCTTTTTAGTAGTACAATACCTGTTAGGGAGGCTAGGTGACAATGTAAAAAGCTCGCTTTTAATTATAAACAGCCTCTCGACTGTTTTCATCCAACACTTCTTGGACAATGTTCGCTTAAAATAACCTTTAATATGGCCCACTGCAATATATTGCTCACATGCAACTGCCAATTTGTACAATACGTATACACTACAGTTCTGAAACAGACTGCAGGGAAACTTGCTCCAAAACTTTACCCATGCCCAATTAATACCCCTACCCCCACCCCCTTGGTATGAAAGCACTGGTTGGTACATTGCTTACATTTAACATGAATTATGTAGGAAATCCAACATTGCTTGAACAAACGATTTCCAGCTGTGCTTGATCAGTGACAGGAAACTTGCTCTCTGTAATAAATTCCAATCCTATTGGACCCTTAAATGAAGCAAAAGGAAAAGGAAAGGAAAACCAACTGAAACCTTTAACCAAAGTAACCCTTTGTCTCCCATAAGTATACACACTTAGCGCCCCATATAAATAGTACCAACTTATAATAGTCAACAGTGGTGAGAGATAGTACTGCCCGGGAAACCAAGCTCAGTAAGTTAAACCGGTTCCAATCACTTAACCCATTGTGGTCCGATCAATATGAGACTATGATTCGAACATAGTTGACACACCATATAAACGATTGATAAGCTTCAATAAAAAAAGGCCCAGCATGTAGGCTGTGGTGATCTGACACTGTTTGAAACGAAACAATGTCTCTGAAAAAAGAGGTCTTACTTTTCTGGGTATCTTAAACAGTCCATAGTGGCAGAATGATATTTGATAGTAATGGTATTTTAGTCCGTTTTGATTTATGTTCAAAAAAAGACAAATTGATAAAAGGTTTAAGAAAAAAAAGAAGAAAGAAAAAAATTAACTGTCACCGATTACGCAAGTATAAATACACACCAATCGCCTTAAAGTCATTAAAGAATAAAATGGCTTCGTTTTGAGACCAAATATGTACATCATTATATCAATTAAAATATCTAGTTCCATTGACTTGCTGGTAATTATCCAAACTGCCACATTGTAGCTGATTCCAATTCAAAGCAATTATAAACATTTTCTTACATTTGACTACAGAGTGTGAACTTAAGTTAATGTAATGCTTATTTGTTATATCATTTTGGTATTTTCGTAATACCTAATTACATATAGATATTTGTTAACGTACGTTACATAATTCAAATACAATTTTTACACATCACTAGTGCGGGCTTGATTTAGGTATTACAAAGGTTTGCATTATCAGCTGCATATTTATATATTTAAAGTCCACTTGTGTTACATGTGACATTTAAGGGATTAATGGCAAGAATAGAGGCGCGTTGTTTATCCGTATCCAATGGCAATGACAACTTTTGTGGTTGATAATTTGTTTAAAAAATACGTTGTCGCGTTAAATCCCCGGTTCCAACTAAGGTTACTCCATGGTAAACAATAAGATCACCTATATATTTTAAGTGTAGATCCTCTCCTCGTGAGTTATGTGTGACACAACCATTTATATCCTATAAATCAACAAAATAGTGTCTAGGAAACATGGTAGTCGGCAATCCCCAGGACTACCACCATTACGTATGAACTAGAGGGTCTAATCCATTATAAAAGTGCCCTATATTTCTGTTAGGGAAATAAACTCCATCATGGATAACTTCTCAAAGCATTTTGAAAGCAGAGAAAAGCATGCATCATATATCCAGCCGAGTCAATCTAAATGCCTTTATGCAAGAAACATCTGCATTTTGTATACATTGTACATATTCTGTTTTCCGGAGACCTGAGTCCGTATTTATGAAACTGTTCTCATGCTCAAGCATGGATCCTGTGTTCAAACCAGCTCTCTTGTAAGTCACTTAAATCATGTCAAATGATCAAAAGTCAATTGTAACATTGAAAAACAGTATTCGGCTTAAGTCTCTTAAACGTTTTTGAAACCGTAGGCAAAACAATGTTTTTAGTTTTCATGGTTTCATGAATACGGGCCCAAGTCTATCTCCCTAAGCGAAGGCAGCCAAGTGAAATGGGCCTTTTGGAGCCCTCTCTATAACTGTATACTAATCATATCCTTACCATTTAGAGGTGTAATCAATCCCAACCCTTATTCAATACATATATAAATACTTAAGTGAGGAGGCCTTCAAATGATTATTGGATTATTGGCTGTAATATTTCTTTGTAGTACCTGATAGTTCCCCATACCTCCACTCCCAATCCTTCGTGATTTTTGCACATTAATGAAACTGGACTTGTTCTATCATCGGCGACAATATAGCTCTATCTAGAGCGTCTGTCTAGAGTTCGGAGGGTCCCGGGTTCAAACCCCCGCCTATCCTTGCAATTTTCCTCTCCTGTTACAGTGGTACCTTTGTTTCACATATTTGGTGTACTCTTGGCAAGGGGATACCCGAACCTGGGTTGTAAATAGTTGTGTCTTTGGGGCGAAGAATTAGAAAAAAATGGAGGGTGGAATGTAGCGGAACTAGACTGGGTCGATGGTTGACGATCATGTAGCTCATTTGGTAGAGCGTCCGTCTATATTTCGAAGGGTCCCGTGTTCGAACCCTGGTCTTGCCGTGCATTTTTCATTTCCTGTTACACACATCAGAGTTGTGGGCGTACCCTATAACTTTACAGGTAAAGCGCACCCATTTATGTATTCACATTAAGGTGGCTCCACACTTTCGCAATTAACCAGCAAAATTCGTTGAAACTTTCATATAATGGTTATGCAACTATGTAGAGTTAATTTTATGAAAATCTAAACATTCCGATAGTTTGGGGAATTTTTTGGAAAAAATACCAAAAAATTGAATTTTCGCCACTTTTAATATTTTCCGTTTTTTTTTTGTGTGTGGCATTGTTCGGAACAATAAAAACAATAAAAA